GGGGGGGGGGGGGGGGGGGCATCGCATTGTGATCTCATCTTAACAAAGAAAAAAAATGTCCTAACTCCGGCTCTCCCTGCTAATGTAAGCTGCTTGCCAGAAACTTCAAGTATTAGCAGCAGCTCGCAAGTCTTCCCTTGCAAAATGTGATTTTAGAAATGAATGACACGGGCGTGGGATGCACCATGTTTGTTTGCCTGACTCATTTGCATAATGAGATGTGGAGGTTAATACCAGGTATAAATGCAAAGGCCCATAGATCAGATACCACTGTTCAGATACAGTTTACATGCTAATAAAAGGTGTAAATAGGGCCTTTTGTCCCTGGCATGGGTCAAGATCTAAAATTGTGGATCCAACATTTCTTATAAATCAACCAACGGCATCTTTTCTCTCTCCCCTTTTCTCTCTCTCCTCCTCTCTCTCCACTTGGAGTCCGACCCCATGCTGAGATATTATTTTGTAAGACTTGACAAGGCTTCTTCACAGCCCCAGAAGATTTTCACAGGCCAAGAAGTACTATGTGCTGTGTAAAATCAGTGCAATGCCCCTTTAAATTATGTATTTTGACACGACTCTTTATGTCTATAATATTTATGAAGCACTTTGTCTCACTGTTTTGAAATGTCATATATATTCTTTATTATGATTAATATTATTATTACAAAGTGAACAAAACGCATCATAATCTCAGATTATTTTTGTAAGTATTTCCATTATTAAATAGATTTAATAGCTTTAAGAAATACTTCTTCTATACACTGAAAGTCAAAGAGACTTTCTGGCTTTACACTGTAAGCCGAAGGAAAACGTAACCAGAGAAGATTTCGATTGTATTTAAAGCAGTTAGTTGATTGTGGGATTTGTTTGGCATCTGTTCAGATGGGATGGCTGTACTATAAAGGATGCAAAAATTATAGTGATAACTGCCTTTTGTAAGTAAGAATAGCTTTGAAGTGATAATATGATACTAAATGATTTAATCAGAATCAAATAGTAATATAGGTCTTTGCTTGGGCCCTGTATCCGAGGATCATAGATGGCAAATGGTTTAACAACACGCTTGTTGTTTGTCACAGGCGTCACCATGAGCGGGAGATTGTGCTTGTTAAAAGCCTTTTCTACATTATGTCTGCAGCCGGTTAAGTAAGAAGCGAGTGTGCTGCTTGTAGCGGGGACAATCATGAATCCATCTTCATCCCCAGTGTTTTACACATCTCTTCTCACTTCTTCTGATTAAATAAAGAAACTCATTAGGTTCAGTATTGCCATTGTTGTGGCATTGGCTTATATTTCAGTCATAATGTGCAGAAGATTCACTGCACAAATTGGTCCTCACACTACTGATTGTCAAGTTCTGGTACAGGCAAAGTTTGAATATGTGCAAAGTTGTTTTTTAAGAACGTTGTGAGACGAAGCCTCCAGTGGTCCTGCTGGATTCACTGCAGAGCTTATCTTCATGGGTTTTTGTAGGATGATCTGAATCGGTCTTCTTACACCCGAGTGACCATCATGAACTCTGGTCACTTTGGAATTGACAGTCAGGATCCTGGGTGGCCACCATAGCCCTGGTTGATAGACTGAATGGAGAGAAAACGGGTTAAATTACAACTTTACGACAACCCTTATGTCCATTTACAGTTTCATGAGGGCGCAAGTTTAAAGTTATAGTTAGACATTTTGAAAAAGAAGTTTATTTACTTTCTTGCAGAGAGTTGGATGAGGTGATCACTCTCCGAAACGCCACTCTCATATCTGTTCGATAAATATATAGCTTGAGCAGTTAGCTTAGCATAAAGACTGGAAACAAGGGGAAATTACTAGATTTACTCTGTCCAAAGGTAACATAATCTGCCTACCAATACCCCCTAAAACTAAGTTATTCACACACTATATCTTGTGTAAAAAATAAATAAAATAAAAGGCAATTTGCATAAAATGTATGGACGTGATCCGAAGGCAACCAACCGAAACTTACTGCTCCTGGTCAAGAAATAGTCCAGCACTAAACCTTTGCACCTAACTTTGGACTGTACCAGGCTAGCTGTTTCCCTCCAACTCCAGTCTTTGTACTAAGCTAAGTTAACCGGCTGCTGGCTTAGAGAAGAGAGTGGTGTCAATCTTCTTATCTAACTCTGGGCAGAAAAGCCAATAGACGTATTTCCCAAAATGTCAAACTATTTGTTAAATCTAAATTCTCCTTTGCTGTCTTTGGGAGACACACAGTGACTTACTAGACTCTCCCAATCTGAAGGAATAGCATTTCTCAACACTTACTTGCGCATCTTGAACAGGACTCCAATAACTAAAACTAATTCAATATCATAAGAGTGTTGTTTTTATAGCTATAACTATAATGTGAGCCAAAATGGACGGCTTGCAAACCAAACTCTGTAGCCCAATTTAGACATCTATTTTAATCACGCACTTATATTTGTTTAAGAAGTCTGGTGTAAAAAAACAAATTACAATCTCACAACCGACCCAGTGGAGAAACACTTCTATATACGGTATATACGAGTTATATACAAGTTTTTCAAAAGACAACTTTGTCTATTTGCTCTTGATATTGAGTGCTAAAAGAAGGTGACAGTGTATTTCAAGGATAGCAAATGTCATTTCTCCTGAGCTATTCCGGCATAAACACGGCGCATACACACACACACACACAGCCTCTTCACCTGCGTCACAATCCAGCCCACATGGTGCATTCACGAAGCTGCAGCCCTGCAGAATTACTGTGATGCTGCTGGTGAGTCACAGTCAAGGTTTTTCTAATGATGAATGCGTCCTGCGGTATAATAATCTTTTTTTTGTAAGTAATATTCCGTTTCAATGTTGACGATTTGCTATTCCTTCACATGGACAAACTAGATTAAACTCTGCACAAAAATGTAAGCTCTATCCAGCTTTTGATTTTTAGGATCAGCATTGTTTTCATTCTCCCCTCAGGCGTGTGCAGTAAATGGTGAAATGTTATTTCAGATGTGACACAAGCGTACTTTTTGAAAGATGGGAATAGGTGAAGTGCATGACAGCCGCAAACTTTTCCCCTGCACTGGCTTTGGCAAATGCTTTGTATATGATGTAAGAATGATGCAAACTGTTTTAGGACATGACTGGTTTAGCAAATAGGGATGATAAAAGACGTAGACACAGGCACAAACCTGGTCTGTGAGGATTCGAGGCTTAATATCAGGAATGGCACCCCCTCTCAGCTCATCTTCCACAGCCATGAGTCTGACAACAGGGAAATAGAAACAAACATACCGGTTGACAAAAATAGAATTATGAAGCCGGTGTTCTTCGAATTTACTGTAGGATTATGTGGCCATATGATGATATTAAGGTCTGGACATGTTTCTGGGTACATTCAGCTATCCTCAGAGCTTCCTGAAGCTGAATCCAAACTGCATTCAGAACAATTCAAGCAGTTCAAATTCAGCTGTTCAGATACAGAACTTGTGAAATGATAGTGTGCGGGTAGTTAAGTGTGCACCCATCTGCTGTATCTGTATTCAGAGGTGATGTTTAACTTCACCAAAGGAGGCTTTTCTACCAAATGAGATGTGAGGTCTGTATACTACTACAAAATAAGCATTTCATTGGGTAGGAATCCAACTTTCTTCCATGAAACATTTCCTTCAATTACAGGTAGCTACAGTTACAATTAGTCTGATTTGGTTTCTTCTGTCCTTGTAATCAAGTTACTGAAATAAAATATAACAAAACAAAAACAACTGATACTTAACCACATGAAGGGTTTCACTTTAAGTATGAGCCTAATGGGTATGATTTTTGGTATTAGTTGTGATATTTAAATGAGCTACATATAAAGCAATTGTTCAACATTTTGGGAAATACACTTATTTGCTTTCTTTCTGAGAGTTGGATTAGAAGATCGATACCACTCTTACTGTATGTCTGTGCATTAAAGGTACCCTGTGGAGTTTTCTATTTCGTGATCTACTTGCATGGGCACAATAGCCATGTTTCCATCCAAATGTAATGCAAATTTTAAGAAAATCTGAAAAAACAATTGATGTGCGTTTCCATCCACTACTGTTTTGCCAGTTTTAGGAGTTGGGTGCATCGAGACAAACAGATGCGGGCACTGATTCTCTAGTCGCGTGCCAATGAACCACCGCAGAAGAAGACGCAAGTCTCATGCTTCATGTACGTCATTATTTATTGGGTAAGTCTGTTTCGATTACACATTTGTATTTTATTTATACACCAACCAAGCGTAAAAACTATTTAATGATATTTTGATTGATTTATTTAAATTTTCTTCGTTTCCACATGAGTTTTGTGTGCAAATTGAAAATGTGCATAGAAACAGGTGAATGGAAATGCACATAATGATGCTCATGCATAGACTTAGGTAACATGATACAAATGAATATGTTTGTTTATAGGGTACCTTTAAGTATGGAGCTAAAACCAGGAGGTGATTAGCTTACCTTGGCATAAAGACTATAAGCACTTCTAAACATGTTGTACATCATTTTTTTAATCCATACAAAATACAAATGTTAACATTTTGGGGGAGGTTTTTTTTTATTATTATTTGGACACAGCTAGGCTAGCTGTCTTTATGCTAAGCTATGCTAATTGGCTCCTGGCTGCGGCACAAATACAAGAGTGGTATCTATCTTTTTAAGTCTCAGCAAGAAAGAAAATAAGCATTTTGACGAAAATTTTGAACTATTTCTTTAAAAATGGATACATATGACATCATGCAAGTTGTATGTCAGTGGAAAACTTCAATTTTTACTTACTTTACTCATATTTTGTGAATCAGATTTTGTGAAGGTCTTAAAGTGTAGGAAAGATTAGCATTTGATACTTCCTCCTTCACTAAGCACAGATGTTGTCCTCTGAGTACTACAACAGACCAAAAACATTTCTTTTATGGAGGCAATTAAAAAAAAGAAAAGCTGGTAATCATTTTAACCACCTTTACTTGGCATACATTTCGACTTTAGGGAAGGTTTGTTTAACTGCTTTTATGAATTTGTTTGTTGTAGCACTCAAACATTTGCTTTTACACGAATGTGAGCAGCAGTAATACACTTTCTAGAATGGTAAATGCACGCTTTCTGGTTCATCACACTCATTATACAGCTGGACAATCATGATATAGGGCATACATTAAAAAATATTGTGGATCTTAAGCTTAACTGCTTGTTTTATGATTATTATTTAATAACTTATTAGCAACTCTTGTGAGACAAATTTGATGCAATTGAGAAAGCCAAGCAGTAACTGGCACAGCTTCATTTCTGCCAGCTCGAGTTCAACCTCAACACTAATCACCTGCTGATGATGCCTTTGATTTGAGAGTCCTTCTCCAATTGCTGCTGCTTTAGGCGGCGCTCACTGTCTTCCAGGCGGTTCTGATACTGCTGAAGGATTTTGCTTGTCTGCTGTTCCTGCGACATAAGCCTATGCTCGTATTCTTCAAGCTTGCGATGAGACATCTTCAGCCGCTCTTTCAAGGAATGTATCTCTTCTTCATATTCTTTTACCTGAAATAAACATAAAATCATTTCACCTGTGCCGTCACTGGTATATAGAAATGTTCCTGAATGATGAGTGGTTTTATCAATAAAGACTCTGTAGTACAACTCTCCTGCTATGCTATGCCCTTTATGCAAGTGGAATACATTGCACCCGTAGTGCTGCCATGTGATGTGTATTCACCCTACAAGTTAAAAATACTGTTTTTCAACATGGAAAATGTTTTTTAAAATTGTAGTTTTTAGGCTTGTGGTAAAAAAAATATGATGAAGCAGTGCCATTCTCCTGTTACTATCCAAAGAAACATTAGTTATTATGTGATAGGCTACTCTTACAGGGGCTAATTTAAGCTTCACTTTTAATAGTGTGACAGATATTTTCACTGCAACCGTTTTCACTCACATACTTCAATCTGATATGGCAAAACTACTTACGTGCTTTTTATATTTCCTAGAACAATGTTAAGTATTCAGAGGAAGCAAGAGAGTTTACTGGTGGAGGAAAAAAAAATGCTGACCCTCTCTAGTCGTGATTCATCCATGCTCTTGGAGTACTCTTTCAGCTGGCCCTCGCGGTCCGGCCGCAGGCTCTCGATGTCGGCAGAGAGATGAGGCATGTTGGACACCCAGGCGACTGTCCGTTCATTGAGGGCTGGGGTGTTCAGTGTTGACTGAGAGCCCTGAAACAACACCACAGGTCAGTCATACTTGAATTCATGTCTTTACATTAGAAATGCCTTGACATTTGAATCTTCAAATAACTATTTATAGGTGGACTGTATGCTGGATACTTGAATTTCCCTCGGGATAAATAAATTCTATCTATGAGCTCAATTTGGTCTTTCTCCCATGCCTACTACTAACTATTTTTGCTATACAGTTTTATATTTAAGGATTGTAATTAAATTGACCTGTTTATTGCCTGGTTTGAGCAGATGCTGCTGTGGCGGCTGCAGTTGTGACTGTTGGGACTTCTTGGTGTTTTTTGTGGGCGTGTCTGTTGACCCCTCTGCAGCAGCTGGTGGGCCCTGGTTCTCTTTGGCGGAGCTGGTCTGGTATGGAAGCCCGGGAGCTGGACTGTCCGTCACCGACAGCTGTGCGTCCTGTTGTTGCTGCTGTTGCTGCTGTTGATGTTGTTGTTGTTGTTGATGTTGATGTTGTTGTTGTTGTTGTTGATGTTGTTGATGCTTGATGCTGTTGATGTTGTGATGTTGTTGATGCTTTGATGCCTGTGATGCTGTTGCTGTGGCTGCTGTTGTTGTTGCTGTGCTGTTGCTGCGGCTGCTGAGTATTGGCGCTGTTTCGGCTGACTGCACTGAAGTTTGTGTCAGAGGAGTCGAGATGGAGGTTTCTGCTCTGCGGGCGAACCTTTTGGAGTGGGCGGTGGCTGAGTGTTAATGGGACCGCTGTGATTGAGTGCTGTGGGGATAGAGTGTTCTGCGGACGGGGTGAACTGTATAGGCTTGTAGCCAAAGAGGCGGCACGTGCCCGTCGGTGGGCTTGTCTTGAGTACGCCTCCATCAGGTGCTGCTGCTGCAGAGACTCCTGAGAGGATACAACAAAGAGAAATTGTCACGCAAATGTTTCTGTGTAGTAATTTGATAGAAGATCCAATAAGACACAAAGACAGCAGTGTACAATGGCGTACCACCACAGATTGTACCAGGATATCAAAACACATAAAGTATGTTCTATAAAACTGAATAACAACAAATGTTAATCCAGTGTAGTAACACGATAGTCCAATCAAATTTAATAAAAGCCCAAGGCAAACAGGAAAGTTTGATATAAAAGGAAGTTGGAGTGGACCTCTGGCTTTCTTGGGTTTGTTTCCAGATATGTGTCCCATTAAAAATGGGAATGCCCATGTTTGTTTTTCACCTCTGGGGCAGTACAAGTCAGACCTGTCCCAGTTTGACTGGGATGGATGATGGATGGATGGATGGATGGATGGATGGATGATAAAGCACTGTCCTGACACACCATCTGCATTAATGAACAGGAGGCTTGTGATGTTTGTTCCATTAAGGCCCACGCAGCAGGACAGAAATAGCTCAAGACTACATGACTGTATCGTTAAACACTTTAATTTTACACAGACATGCTGTAGTAAACTTATCAGTGAGATAGATCAGCTGTCCCTGTGCAAAATGTCCTGTCATACTTTTATTAAAAGCTGTTACAGAAAATACAAGAATCCTACTGAACTCCATCAAACAAGTGACAGTTTAATTAAAGTTTATAATGTGGGTTCCCATGTGAGTTAAAACAAGTTTGATACTAATTGTACATAATTAATAGTAATTATATATGTATATAAAAAAAGTTCTCCATAGTTGATCAGCTTTTACTGGAAATGCTTAAACCTAGGTTTCGAGTATAGACTCTCAAACAGTGTTCCACCGATCCGCAGTACACAAAGTTAAAGTATGTATAATATAATGATATGTGTAGTATCAACAGTTACAACACTCTTTTCTGCCCTGTCGACCCACAGCCAGTTTCCAGCCCTGTTGAAACAAGGCCACACAGCATGATTGATGTCAAGCACCCTACACAGTTCTGCAGGGCAGACCAGTGAACGATCCTGCTGTCTGTAGCGTAACAAGTGTCCCTCAAAAGCGCCCTTACATTACTGTTAGATTTGCATATTCTGCTGCTCATGAGAAGGCCATTTTGTAAACATTTCCTATTGTGTTTGGATGCGAGCTTTACTCCGCAACACAGTGAAAACTAAAGTACAAGCAGGCTAATCGGAATCATGACCTGAATTCATGCAGACATTTTTTGATGCGCAATCAAGGGGTTAAAATAACACTAAGAATAAATGACAAGGGTCCAAGTTTGTTGGGCAACTTGGCTTGAAATGGGGAAAAAAAATATCCAGGTCTTTTTAGGAAAACTGAGAAAATGTATTCTTGGCTGTGACTGTCCTCATCACAACATTAGCAGATCTAGTGGTTTTAATACTGTGTTTGTACTGAATTTGAGTGATTGCTGTAGAAAAACTGAGGGCCATAAACCGGAAGATCCACTGATATGTACGACATATGAGAGAAGAATTGTTTTTTCCTAAAGCAGTAAATTATATATTCACATTATTATGTAACTTCTATTTGAAGGATAACTTCAGATGAATCTTGATGTTGTGCCTGGCATTCATTCTGTATACCAATTTGGAGTCTCACAAAAAGTATAAAACTGCAACTGTCTTAAACTATAAAAGTTGAGGATACTACCACAGTATTCCAAAAAGTACAGTTCATGTTCATGTACACTCAGTTGCCAGTATATTAGGGACAACAAGTTAAATCTAATGCAGTCTAATACAACAGCCCTAAAATAATCCTACCTCATGAAGGTTTAACTGTTCAGGTTTTGTTGTTTCAGAGAGGCCTTAATTCGACTATATGATTATTATTATTATTATCCATTATACGGAGGGGTGTTTTTATTATTTAGCCCACTCTCACTGATATAAATATGGTGGACAAAATAATAGAAACACCTGTCAATCAACTGAGTGTATGCTGTGACAGGTCTGACATCCAATCGGCAATGGTAACTGACAGTGTCCAGAAATAAGCCCACAACAGGCTATCCGATTAGAAGATCTACAATGTGACATTGATCGTTTTAAACATTAGATAAATCAGAGGTCACTGCTACGGATGCAAGTGAACAAAACAGACTGAACTGAATAGCAGTCTGCAAGTTTATGGACCAGCTTACAAGCTCTCCATCTGGTGGTGGTCTTTAAAATACAATACCACTCTGGCTGCTCAGCTAGTTCAGTATAAATATGAAGACCAAATCCTGTACTGATGGAAGTGATCTCTTACAGGTTAAATGCTAATTAATTTGCAGTTAACCGTAAGAGTTAATTATAGCTTCAGATACAAAAGAGTGTTGTTGCATGCATAAATGTAATTGTAGTTAAGGTTTCTTTTATACTATAGGAGTCACCTGTATTCAGTTGATAAAAGAATAAATATATCACAGGTCTTGTTTCCTCTATTTATTGCATATATAAGCTTTATTTGTGAAACATAAGACGGTAAATATTTTAAGCAAAGGTTAAAAGATGCTGCATATCATTACTGTGCTAACATAAAACTGTCTTTTTGTTATATTTTCCGTGTGCAGATAAATGAGAGATTCCTACCTGCACCTGCAGTGACAGCTGGTGCCAGGCGTAGTCATTGCTCTGATTCTGCCGGGTGAAATCATCACTGTAACTGTGTGAGTGGACAATGCTGGGCTGCACCAGACTGCTCTGTGACCGCAGGCCAGACAAGTCCTCACTGCGGGAGAAAGCATTGTTGCCAAAGGCAGGCTGATAGTCGTGGTGGCCGTTCTCGGGCTCAGGGGCAAGGAGGAGAGGAGGGGGATGAGGCTGAGACTGAGCCGGGGAGTTCTGGGCAGCCAAATGGAATAGCGGGTTCTGGAAAGACAGGGGGAAGTGCATGGCCGCTGCTGCCTGCTGCTGTTGTTGAGATATGGATTCAGTGGGCCCCCCTATGTGGCCCATCTGGCTCAGCCTCAAACCGGAGCCCGCTGAGCCCGCTGGCATATGCCCTCCCATGCGAAGAGGACCGCAGAGGTTCCCGAAGCTGTGGCCCAGGCCGGCGATGGAGGCCTGAGAGGAGGTGAGCATGTCTCCCACAGAGTTCAGGTTGGAAATGCTGTTCATACGGGAGTCCTGAAGGTCCATCATGGACACACTTTTATTCACACTATGGACCTGAGGGACACAACAAAAACATTTATTCTAGCTTTATTCTGGACTGGATTTATATACAAAAACATTGTTCAGAAAATGCACTAAACTCCATTTCCGAATGTACAGTAAATGTGTGTATTTTTAGTTTTAAATTGAATTCAGGCACATTTAACTGTCATATATAGTTATATTTATGGCTTTAGACAGCTAAATGCTTTTATATAGTTATGCTAGACCAAAGTCTCACTCCTCTGTGTATTGTTTTGTTCCACTTTAGCTCCCCTTCCATGATTTTTCTTTAAAAATCCTAATTATATGTCTCTTTTATTGCCTTGCTTTCTTTTATGTTTTGTTTTAATGCCTTTTTATGTCTTATGTAAAGTGCTACATAAATAAACTTGCCTTGCTGGATTCTAATAAGTAATTCATTCAATGCATAAAGACACTGACTTAATGTCATTTTTAGCCCTTGAATGTAATGTAATGTTTTTTTTGGGCTGGAAATCTTACATTGCAACCAAATTCCATCTAATCAAACTGAAAGTCAGACTTGAAAACGGCTTTGATTATTAAATAATCAGTAATAATCTGTTATTATGATCTCTTGTTAAATCATAATCTACTCTCAAAAGAAATCATCTTCTTATTGAAATCCACAAAGAATGTCTTAAGTGCTCAAGTAGATAATGATGTGATAATATATCAGTCACATAATGTTGTATAATTTTCTAATGTAAATATGCTAGTAATTTGTTAATAGTATTTTATAAAAATGTGTACGCTGATGCTTGCAGAGAAAGCTTAAAAAGCTGCAGAATTAAGACATAAATCAGCAAACAGAACCAGAGTGAAATGGAACAGTTTCATGACTATTTTACATCGTACCTTTGGATCTGGTTCGGTGATGTCCGAGCTGCTCGTGCAGTATGCAGGGCTGGATCGGGCCAGCGGTGGGCGGGTCACGTAGAACACCTCCCTCGAAGAGCGGAGGTCTCGTTCTGCGTGACGCCTCATGTTCAGATTAGATGAGAGGGATTCTACAGCGGAGACTCCCGTCGTAGGGGAGGGCAGGCGAGAGATGTCTATTGAACTGCAGATACACAACAGGAAGAGGTGTTATTAACCGCTATGATGGGTTTATTCTATGCTGCATTAGTCCATTGAATTGTAAACAACGTACATGGGCCGTATGGAAGGAAATCAAAGTGTAAGCACAGGACAGGTGGTCCCAAATGATAAATGTTGCCTTCTCTCCCACTGCTTTATCTTTTTATTTCATCAGAATGTGTTTTTTTTCTCATTTCCCAATTATCTCACAACCCACCAGATTCATCTCGTCACCTTGTGGGGGTCCTGACCCAGGTTGGAAACCACTGCCCTATATGGGTAACAGGATGCCCATATCACACATACTGTTTTATGTATTTTACCAAAATATTATATGGTCAGAAAATGTGAATTTATGTGGGGATGTGTGGGATGAAAAATAAATAGATACATTAATAATGCAAAAAACAATGAAATGGTAGCATGATTCCTTTGCTATTCTCATTTCATAACAAAACGTGTGAAGAAACCAAAGTATTCTGCACGCTGTAAATAATTTATTCACAGTCAAGAGTTTTGATCCTGTCTACAAGCTTTTACAGTATGCAAGAACTACACGTTTTTCTTATGTAACTGTTGCATAATGAAACATGTGGAAACCCTGAGAGGAGAAGGCGTGACTCCAACCCTGACACCTCTGGGGTTAGAGCTACAAGGAACGGCAGGTGTGTGGATGGTTTGAATTTCCAGACGTTTGATCTCTGTCCTCTCACACCTGCCTGCAGCAGATTTCAGTCATTCTCATTCAATTACATATTTACTGCTGCAGCGTTTGTTCCAACAGACTAGTGCTTGGGAGGAGGGATTTATAATAGTAAACACAAAATAGGTGCAGTGGATTCCTCTGATATTACCACTGTTTTTCTCTACTTAAAGAGTTCTTATTTAAACAGTTAGGCTGTAATGAGAGCAACTGTCTCTTGACAGTAGCAGAGTGCTGAAATGAATTAAAACACAGAGGAAAGAGGTTTGGGTGAGAGAGTCTGGGAACAGATGGTGCTGGCAATTACTGATTGATAAAATACTTAAAAAGCCTGAAGAGCTGCATTAGCATTAGGGGCTTTTAGAAACTAACCAGTGTTTTGTTTTGAGCCGCTGAATTCTCACTTATTGAGTACGAAACTGTAACTCCTCTGCTCATGTGCAATAGGTGCACATTTGCAATCGTGGCCATTCGCTTTGTCTCGATAAAGTTCAAATGTAAAAGCATAGCCCGCCTTGGCACACAGTCCACAGGAGCACACTCTTTGAGGACATGCAAATCCAATTTCACGTGTAAGAACGATAACAACAAAAATACATAACAAAGGAAAGCATGAAAGATACCTGTTTAAGTCACGCATCATAAGGCTTTGGAAGTCAGACGACATGAGACGATTGAAAGATGGCCGTGAAAAGAGTCTGTCCTTCGGTCTGTCTGGCTGGTGATTTGTAGGCATGTGGAGCTGTGGGTTCCTCAGGGCGACGCTGATGTCATTCAGCAGCCGTGGTAGGGGGCCGAGTTTGAGGATGGCGTCCTGCAGAAAAAAAGTTTCCAAAATTAAGAAAATCCAAACCTCACACGACTTATACCAGGGGGTAAACAACCTTTTTTATACTAGGGACCATTTTACTGAGAATATTCTAGCAGCCCAGGCAACCGGGGGGGAGGGCACGACCAGAAGAAAAGGCAAAATAGAAGGTGAAACTGATGACCTACTTTCAAAGTCATTATCCTGTTGTTGTGGGCTTGACAGGGAAGCATAAGGAAAGATGAATCACAGGCAGACTGTGCCAAGTTCAAGGTAATTACTGCACAAATAGCCTCTGATCTTAAATTATCATTTTATATAATCATTATTATGATAATATGGTAAATACTGATGCTCTGATTCAAACCATTAGATAGATACCTTATTAAGCTTAATAGATTTTCTGCACTTTTTTTGGTCAGGAAGTAATTTTAACATTAACACATATTTTATTTAGGGATAAAGAGAGTACGGCACTGGAACAAGACTCTTATCAGAATCTGTATCAGGAGAGAAAAGTTGGATCGGTGCATCCCTAACTATAAAACTTTTATTCAGACGTTTATGCAGCCCAGTAGCAAATGTTCCACGGCCCAGTAATTGTCTGTGCCGCAGGGGTTGGAAACCTCTGCGACATAAAGTATGTTCACTTATTCATTCATAAAATTCAAATCTAATTCATAAAAACACAGAAAATGTCACACATCTGTCCAGCTATATGACAATTTAGGACTGAGCATATAATATTTATAACTTTCATTAGGATACAACTACAGTACAATTTCAACAAATTCACAGTGCGAGCACTTCAGTTACTTATTAAAGCATTAATTCCACCTCAGTTTTAATTGAGTGAAAATAATATTCATCTTGTGTCTGCAGAACCTTATTTTCCAATTCTTGACTCTCTACATTCTTTAGTTGGGGATATCATATTAAATATTTAATTCAGTGTTCCACTTAGTCCACCTACCTTGCTAAGCTGACCCATGACTTCCCACAGTAAGCTGTGCAGCATGGACAATTCTCTGCCAAGGTCAATGTAGCCCTCGAACCCTCCAGCGTTTCCACCAGTCTCCATGTTGGAAATCTCGTAGAGAAACTGCTGCATGGAGGCCCACTCCATCTCCAGGAACTCGTTCATGAAATACATGTATTCCTCCTTGGGTCCAAATCTGCAGACGCAATAATGACAGGATAGAAACATACTCTACAGTGCAAGTGGAATCATCTCAGGTATTTGGACAGTGATTGCCTTTTTTTTTGTTGCTGTTCTGTACTGTACCGTCCTGCACATGTATTAATTTTGAGTGTAAAACAGTATGACAACAGTGAGTATGTGTACATGCCCATTTGCAGTCATATCTTGGTTTTGGTCATAGTTGTGACTTAGACCAATACCCATCACCCTAACTGTTTACGTATGAACACAGCAGACAATGATTAGAAACCTCGATGAGTTGTCTACATGCTGCAATATCCTGGTTCTCTTTCAGAGTGCTACAGCATATCTGGTTTCTCAAAACCAACGTAAGGGGCATATCCAGATTGTTCAAGCACAAAAACCTGGTCCTAACTGGGACACTAATGCACATGTAAACACACTCACTGGGACTTAAGGAACAGTTATTTGACCAATTAATGCACACTGCCAGAAGTATTACATGTCTGATCATTTGAGTATTTTAACCAATGGTCCTCAAATGTAGAGTCTATTAAACTGCCACCAAACTTTTGATACAATTATAGGTGCCAGAATTGTTTTTATATTCAAAAAAATGTGAACAGAGTGAAGGTGAGAACAAATGTGTCGCAGCTTAAAGCCTTGGAGCTCACTGTGGGTGAGTAACAGTTTATACCCTTGCAGTCAAAACTGCAAGTCTCCATTTCCGTGATGTTACTCTGTGACATGCATCCCACCTCGCACAAGCGTCATCATCCACAAATCTAAAAATGAACTGAATCAAATCAATGTAATGTCGTAGCTTGTGTAAGAGGACAAGTGATGACAAAAAGACTCACTTGCTGAAGCTGGCCAGGTTCTGCATCACTTTGGCTATGAGTGTGAGCGTGCGGGACGTGCGTTCGGCGGGGTACTCCTGCATTAGGTTGAACAGTGAGGGGGACATGATGGCTGGGCACATGAAGCGAAGAAACAGAGAGGAGCTGATGAGGCTGTCGGCGAGATCCTCTCTTCCACGCTCGGCACATCTGGCTCTCCACGAGGCAAAAACTTCCTTCAGCTCCCGGGGAAATATGCTGAAACAAGAGGATGATTTTATTGCCCATTGTCAAGGCGAACAGCAGGATAAAAATCCAGCAGCCCCTGAGGAATTCAGCAAGGTCATGAGAGAACATATGGAAAATTACTGGACTGGACTGCTCGGGATGGAGGATTTATGTTTATGAAACCATACTGAAAATGGTCTTGACCATGATGATTTTACTAATTATATAATTGGGAAAAAACATCTAGATAATAAAAGATTGTGTTCTAATTTAGTTCAAATATCAGAGTTGCAAGAAGAAATTTTATAGAAGAATTTTATATTGTTGTTACTATGGAGACAAATGGAGGCCAGATGTTTTGTCAACTGGAAAGACAAAATTGTAAATATAAAGCAAAAATTAAAAGCCTGATAAAATGTATTTTCAATTTAAATGCAATTTTAAATGATTAATTTTCCACTTTTAATTTAATTTACATTTCTTTCCCTAATCTACACCCTATATTAAAGTGATGTGGCGTGGACCAAAATGGATGCCAGACAAAGCGTTGCATTGAGCAGGCTGTTATATACACCAATCAGTGGAGATACAGAGCAGATACAGTCATAGTTCTTACAGGTGTATAAATGGGAAAAAACTGACCAGAGAGAGTTGATAATCTTGCAGAGTAACAGCTCACAACACATGCGAAGGTTGGCTTGATGGTCGGCGAGCACTGATGGCGGGACACGCATGGGATCCACTTCACAGTTCTCCTCAGACTCATATAAGGCTCGAATGAAGTCGCCTGCAATTTGAGAATCACAGTGTCATTATGTTTTCCAAAATGCACCAAAATACAAAAAGTTCAGCCCTACTTCAATGTGAATGAGAGCTAAAATATATGAATTAACAGTATGTTAAATAAATGAGGAGGAAGAAGTCATTAGTTTATATACACAAAGAATATAAATGTAAAATATAACGATTTGTATAATGGATTAAAACATGAAGAATGATTGGTATACAGTATACTGGATTGTGTGCATTAGGAAAAACCTTAAAACAGCTAATCAAACTATTATTTCTCTTCCATTGTATGAGAAAATAAAAGAATAAATTACCATTTTATGTTGTGACACAAAAATGTTATTAAAGCACAGATTCTGTTTGTTGATGTGACATTTAGACAGTTCTTTCTGTTCTGTCAGTTCTAATATTTCCAAAGATGCTGCTACCACAATGAATAAGAATAATGTTGGAAAATGTCACAAATATATCACAAATGTAGGTCAAACAATCTCAAAATTGCACTGGAACGCTGGAATTTAGCCAAGGAAGACACACTTACATCAAAACAATTGACACGGGATCATCTGCAGCAGCCTTACCTATAGCATCCTTGAGGTATCTGTGACCTATCAGTTTGAGGTACTCTTCCACAGCCTTTGTAGCTAGCGTGTTCTCACGAAAGATCAAGTGCTCACGGTCCATGAATCGATCCACCTCGCACATCGCCATGTCAGACAGGAACTCCTGAGAAGAGATTACATTTTTAAGTTCAGGAGAGTTGTGTACCAAGGAAAGGAAATAGTGCTTATTGTGATGAAAACAAACCAACAGATCATACTGGGAGCAGCAATGATTTAAGGAAGAATAACATGCAATCAGGTTACATTTGATCCCTTGTTTACCTTTGTCTTGCCTGTGCTTTGAAGGATGTGCACCAGAGCAAAGGCCACCTCCTCTTTGCTTTTCACACTCAACAGCGGCTCCAGAACTGCACACAGTGTTCGGTAGTTGTTGGTAATGTACTCAGCAAACTCCTTGTACAGCTCCATCGGGAGGATGTTCATTGTCTGGTAGCGAGACTTGACACGCAGTGAGGCATTGATCACTTTGGTACTTCCAACACCTCCACTTTTGGCCAAGACACTGGACTGTATCACCGGGTACCACTGCTCCACGAACTGCCGGCCCGTGATGCTGGAGATGGGGATGCTGACAAGGCCAAGATATGTGCTTTTCTCCTGGATCACCGAGCAAGCAACAAGCAAAATATAAATATTTGTAACGTAATAAAATGTTTTTTGACCAGGAACTATGGTTTTATTTTGACCACATATGCATTACCTTGCGTCTTTTTTTGTCAGTTTCCTTGTAGAGATGCAAACGAAGGCTACGAATGGTAGGCAAATTGTTAAATTCAAAATGCTCGCCCCAGAAGACGGTGTCGGTCCGGGGTTTGCTGGTGGTGCGTGCGTACAGCATGTCATCCAGACATAGTTCACAATAGTAGCGTTTCTTAGCCGGAAGGTCTCGAGCTTCAATGATCCACAACTTCAGCACATTGTCCACCCGTCTGCTGTTGTCCTGAAAGTGAAACGAGGAGTTCTATTACTGCATTATAACAGTCCTTATTTACATTGGTTCTTAATGTTACACCCTGGACTGATTTTGTGCTGTTGTAATTTAAAATTTAATACATCTATTGTATCTACCTTGTTCGGTTTGACAGCTCGTTGCAGATTTTCAATCCACTTGTCTCTTTCTGAAGCTGATCGGCAGGCAAAACATTTTGTCCCTGAACTAGTGGTCACCTGCAAACAAATTATCATTATAAAATATTCCATATATGGCTGGACGTAGCAATTATTTTTACAGTTGATTAATCTCTGAAAAAACTAATTGTTTTTCCAATTAATCAGTAACATCTTCAAATGGCTGGTTTTGTTCAGAACTCACAGATAATTAATTTACAGCAAATTCTCACATTTGATACCAGAGAATCTCTTGATATACAAGACTAAAAGACAATTTGTGGATTCTGAAAGTGCTTATTATTTTCATCTATCAAGTCAGCATGAATTCTTTAAAAGGTCCAGTGTGTAGGATTTAGGGGCATCTAGCGGTATAGGAACACACTGCAACTCTCTTGCGTCGCCCTCCCTTTCCAAGCATGAGGGAGAAACTACTGTGGCAGCGAAACGTTTGAAAAAAACACGAAAAGGCCTCATCTAGAGCCAGTGTTTGGTTTGTCCATTCTGGGCTACTGTAGAAACATTGAAGGCGACCCGCGGACCAACAGATATAAAAGGCTCATTAGTAGGTAACGAAAACGCAACAATTCTTACTTTTAGGTGATTATACACTAATGAAAACCTACCTGTGAATATTATACTCCATTTGTGCCACAGTTGCACACTGGACCTTTAAACCACTAGCTCACTTAATTTATCTAATTCAGACGGAGGTGAGAAGTGGTTTGATGTCTTCACTTAGAACGTTTTTAACAAATTCACTTAAAAATTCACCTCAAGCCCATTAGTAGACAAATAAAACCAGGGAGAATGAAAAGGTTATACAACTTAATGCACCTCAAAGCAGTACTCTTGTCCTAAAATGCTAGAGTGGACAGGTTTGATTATGGCCTCTTCATCCAAAACTAGGTCCAAAGCCTCTGCAGCACTACTAGGAGAAAGTAGGGATTCATGGGAGTGGGATTCTTTGAAGCTCTGCATCAATCGTGTCCTGGTGAGAGAAGAAGAGACTTTGTTTACTTTCAGGATTCAGGTAATCACTGGTCTTTAGATAAACAATTTAGAAAGGTTTTCATATAACAAAAAATGAGTCATTGCTGCAATTTCAGTACGATTTTCTGAGATCTGATCCTTTTATAATGAGTTTATGGAAAAGTTAAGACTACCAGATTTTCTGTTCTGGGGTTTGCAGTTTGGTCTGTTGACTCAACACATACTGCATGATAGGAAATGGCCCACAGTGTCCCAGTCTGTGGTGTTTTCTGGAAATGCAATTCTTTAATTTCCGAACTACACAAGAATTTACAAATGCATATAAAAATGTGATGTTGGTAAATGGGGGGGATGTAAACCAGCAGAAGAAGCAGTTCAGTGGGGCTAAACTGCAGAAAGCCTGTAGTGCAGTTATAAAATGGCACAGAGGACTGATAATAGGGTAGCCTTCAGAAGAGGGCAGATCTATCAAGAAAAAACTAAAGGTGTTGATGGAAGTGGAAGCGAAAAGGTTTGCCAAGGCTGTCTCTCGCCAGTTGAAAAAAAAATGCAGTGAGGAAAACAGTTTGCCTCGAGGGTTAGAGGAGAAGATACTACAGCTACAGCCAGCAGCCATTTAGCTTAGCATAGCATAAAGACTCTGAACAGGGAAACAACTAGCCTGGCTCTGTCAGATAGTAACACACCTATAATATCTCATTTGTTTAACTCGTACAAAAAACTTTCTGTGAAAATGTTTTAATTTAATTTTTTTGGCAGCTTTTGTTACATTTGAACTGAGCTGTTTCTCCCTGTTTCTAATTTGTGTGCTAAACTAAGCACCTGTTAGCTTCATCGTACATCTAATACAAAATAAGTGTATTCTCCGAAATGTATACCTCTTCCTTTAGCATTTTCTGAAACTAGCTTTGAAGAAGAATACATTGAAAAAGTTCATTTACACTGAAAAGCTGGAGCTAGCCTTCTGCATCATTGTTAAAATAATATCTTTGTTTGGCTGAGAAGACTGATACCACTTCCATATTTCAATATGGAGCTACAGTCAGGAGACAGTTATCTTAGCATTGAGACTGGAAGTCGGGGGAAACAGCTAGCCTGACTTTGTGGGAATGTAGAAAAAGAAATCTCCCTATTACCACCTCTAAAGCACCAATTAACATGTTATATGTAATTGTACTGAAGGGTTATGTGAGCTATGTAAGCGATAGAAGGAAGATTTGTGTCCCACTTTGGACGGAGCCATAGCTGCTTCCCCAGTTTCCAGTCCAAGTTAGCTAACCAGTAGCTGGTTTTAGCTTAAAAAAACATATAAATCTAACAGTGGAATCAATCTTCATCATCTAACTCCCAGTTAGAAAGTGAAAAAGTGTATTTCCCAAAATGTTCAATTATTCCTTTAGGATTCTCTGAACCTACTTTTGAAGAAGAATAAACTGGGAATGTGGAGTTCATCTGCACTGAAAAGCCGCAGCTAGCATGCTGCATTATTAACACTGGCTTTGAACATGAGAGAGATGAGAAATGAAGGAAAAGAAAAAGCAGAAGCTTTTGAAGAAACACCTGATAATTATGCCGCAAATGAGGAGCACTAATTTAAAGCCAGATTTAATGTCAAGCAGAGGGTCCAGTGAATCGTCCAGTTTGAGGAGCCGACAGCGCCATCGCATGAAAAACGCTTCGGTAAAAGTGGCTTGGCAGCAGAGGTAGAGCAGCTGCGTTGGAAAGCTAGAGTGTGAAGTTGGACACTGAGGGTTTATAGCAAAGTCAACTTAACACTACTGAGTGAATTAAGTGTGTGTGGGCAGAACTCAAAGCAGGCTGTGAAGGCAGCTGTCTGAGGCAGCGGTGGGAGCTGGAGAACGGCTGTGGTTAGAGGGGAGAGCACAATGGCTGAGGCAGAGAAGTCCCTTTAACCCCAACACCATTAAGCTACCCCCACCACCTCCTTCAGAGCTGCCTCCACACAACCCCTTGGGTTAATATATAATTCATTTGAACATTTGAACTGGGCTTCTGCAATGACGCTCACCCCGCATTTTAGAACAAAGGATTTTTACATCCCTCGCTAAATGACGCATTTTACGTCTCAGAGCATCGGACAGCCACACCTGCCCTCAAAATGTCTATTATGTATCTCCTGTGGCGGTTGGAAAGTGTACTGTCAGCATTACATTTTTACTTTCTGCCTCTCCCCCTCTACGTCTTTACACTTCCCATATGTGCATCGTGACTGGATTGTGTGAGGACTGCATAAAATTTTGATCACAATGCGAGGCAGAATCTTCTGGGATCTGACCTCAAGTCAGAATACACAACGAGAAGAAAGCTGTCATGAGAGCCTCTAGAGCTGTAAGCTATCCTAATATGATCCAATAACAGGAATCACACTGACATGATAAAGTGTAGGCATAAGGTTATTATAGAAATTTTACTAGGATGTCCAAAAGACCATTTAAATTTTAAGATTTTTTCATGATGGTTTTAGATACCACTTTTTACTTTTTACGACCCACTTTTTTGTTGCAACACGGACCGTTGCTCCTGTAACACAGCACTAGCTGATTTCCACTCGGCTATGTAGCGTACGTAGCTTAGCTGACCACCCAGACTGGGAGCTCGAAGGATGCGGAGAGGTTTATTTGCACTAGTCACAGAGGAGAATGAGAACTGGGTTCACAGCCTCTGAGACCGAAGGAGGCCAGGAGATTTATAATGGCTCTGACCAGGACTCCGGGGAGGATGAGGACTACCGTGTCTTCATCATCAACCAGGGACAGAAGAGTATTAAACCTGGAGAGGGGTAGGTTTATAGCAAATGAATTTGTAACTATATTGTTTTACATCATCCATCATGTTGATAAGTCAGAGTATTTTTTTCTGTGGAGTTGGAAGCTATTTATTCTGTTGAAGTTTGAGTCATTGCAGCATTTAACAGCCAGCTGATAAAATGTAGATATGTATTTAAATATCAGAAATGTGCGGTGACTAGTCAACAGATGGCTTTAACTAATGACTACAAGTCGACTAGTAAAATCGTTGGTCGTTGGAAGCCCTACAATTCAAGTAGTATACAATGAAAACTCCAAAATTTATCCCAAGTATTTATTTAAATAAATGTGTAGTTTGGAGGCATACAGGTATTACTCTTTCAGCAATGCTGTTTCCAAACAGACTTGCACTTGTGCACGTACATTACCCTCCTTCAACTCTATTCAACTCAACTAACCAACATTTGTTTCTTTGTAGTCGTAATATGTCCGCCACATCCAATGAGCTCTTGTAAGTCTTAACGTGGCAAATCAATTTGCTTGTAGTATGTCACAGCTCTGATGGCAGCATTGCAATAATGGGATAAATAGTTTTTGTAGTGTTGCTATTAATATCAATCCGCTGAATATCGTTAGTCACAGCCTGAAAGCGCCTGGAAAAAGCACAAGCTCAAACCATCTCTGAATGTATCACCAAGGCAATGTCCTTCATTCAGCAGGGCTTTGCTTTTGGTTAAGAAGCCACAGTTCAGGTGAGGGGTGTCAGGTGGGCTCCTCAGAGCTCCAGCGGCAGTTTGAGATTCATCCACATTCTTCTTGAGCCACATAAAAACACAAGTGGCTCTTAAAACACAGCGGAGATTTTAGCTTTTTGAGGAAAGAATAAAAACATATCTTCCCTCAGGATAACACAAAATGCTAATGTTAGTGTGAAGATCAGCTAAGGCTGATAGGAATTCACAGGTACACTATCTTGTGTTGAACTGTTTGACATGTTATTCCTATCATTTACTAACATTAGCCACCGTACGCTACTGGTCATACCAGACGAAGGAAGGCTTTCCTAAAAAGCCTATAAAGAGTTTTATTTATAAAAGAATTTAAAAAATTAAATAGTTATTTCAGTATGAACCAAAGTACTGGACTGGAAGATACAAACGGGATAACTTCACACCTAAAATAGAAAACCAACAATTATCATAAACATTATTAGTAAGATTCTGCTTTGCACTGCACTGTAATTACACGCGCTATACTATTGTCATCGTATATTATAGGACTACCCATCAATACATGTACACTGCACTATACTATTATTGTACTATTACAAGTATTACATCATTGTGTGCCATTTAGGGTTATACAATGCATAACCCTAAATCAGCAACGCTACAGTGTATATATGTTTGGGTTTTTTATTATATATATATATATAAAATTATTTCTCTTGTATCGTGTTACTTGTTCATTGTGCTATTCTACGTGCCACTGAAATTGCCACTCTGGGACAAATAAAGTGAACTGAGTTGAATATAATTACAGTACACAATCAGCTTGTCCCAGAATAAGAAGCAACCTTGAAGTTAGCTATTGAGGTTAGCAATGTTCTGGCTGTAGCTCAAAAAGAAATGTAGCCTTCAGCAGCAAAAGTGAGAGGTTTCCATGCAGAAGCAATTCGAGCGTAAGGTAGTCACAGCAAACCCACTTAGGTAACACCCAGTGCACAAAAGCAGCATGTCACCCAAGCAAGAACTGATTTTATTGTTGATGTTTGAGTAGTGTCCAAAGCTTAAAGCTGCTCCCGATCTAAGTGCATAAACAGGCTTATTTATGTGCTATGTACAGTTTGTCATCTCTTTGTCAACACTTATCACCTCGCAGTAACAAGGGTCATTGTTTTATTTTGTCTTGATCACATGACTGCATGATCTTGCCACAGCACAAACTGCAACATACATGTAACAGGCATGCCTTATTTCTACTGATTATAGATGACTGTGGGTAGCTCTGAGATGACAAATAATTATTTAACTAATTAAAACATATTATGATCACAAGCAGGGTCCAAAAGTAATACCCGCCAAGTGCCAAATGTGGGTAGGTTTTGGGTTTGGTGGAGAAATACACTGGAGTCACCGGTGGCCAGTAAAGAATTTGTAATCACGGTGTATGGCCAGGTTTACATTGCTGTGTTTTTGTGTGTATACTGGCTGAAACTAATGTGACCCTCACTGTCTACTGTACCGATCAGTGAATCAAATTAAAGCAGCCTACTGATTTTGGTGTTTTCTACACAATGTCTGCCTTTGCTTTTTCCGTAAGAAACAAACATGCGTTAATTGTTATTAGAGACACACATGAAGCTAGAGTGTAAATTCCAGAGGTCTGGATCTTTTCGAGATCCTCAAAAGGGTCAGAAAGGCTCAAAACACGAGATCATTTTTTATTTAAATGCATGATGCAGTTATATGGCCAGTATGAATATTTTTGGAAGGTACATTTTCTCAATTTAACTGCCATTGGCAGATAAACCAAAAAGTTAGTTTTGGACCCTGATCACAGAGAAACACATGATTAATTGCAACCATGGCATTTCTAGCCTTCATTAGCATGTATATCAGGTGAATTGTGAACAGTAAATTATTCTTAAGTAGGGATATATTTGTTAGACCGGTGATAAACTGGCAACCTGTCCACTGTGTTTTCTTGGCTTTTGCACAACACCTGCTGGTACAGGCTCCAACGCCCATGTGACTCTGAATTAGAAAACAGTTGCCATTTCCTTGAATGTTATGAAGGCTTTACACGCTTTACAAGGTTACTTACCTCTCTTGGTCAGCACTACGAAACCGGGGCAAAATCATTTGTCGGAAGCTGCTGGTCCGGTCCAGTTTGGGCTGACTTTTGGCCCTCTTGATGGAGCCCTTCAGCCGCCGATTGAGAAAACTCTGAAGATTCAACAAGAGAAAACAGAAAGAAATACAGTTCAGAAGAGCGGAGTGAAACACATCGCCAACTGCTGGAATATATTAGCTTTACTTCCCAAGTGGGAATTTATTATATCAAAAAAGCCAATGTGTACGTGTTTTCTATGTGAGCAGAAAGCATACATATGGCATTCACTTGCATCAGGAGAGTGTGACAGACCTTAAATTTACTCACCGGCTGTCTGAAGGGCTGTGGGGTGGCATTGGGAGGGGTTTCCATGCTTGACTGTCTTACAGAGGCAAAACTTGCCCTGCGAGATTGGTCTATGAGAAAGGAGTGCAGACATTCAATCATTATATGTAAAAAATGCAGAATGAAGCATTACCTAAATGTATTATAATTAATTTCATATGTTTTTTGACCTTTTTTTTAGCTTTTTACATATAGTGCATTAAAAAAAGATCACGCTGCTTTTGGACTGCATAAATACGTAGTAAATATTACGATTTTGACGATGTTCTGTGCATCAGTAAATCAGACTAATTGGCTGCTGAGTTATGGTCATTTAAATGTATCATGTTGCTGTAGGGCTGTTGAGTTAATCTCCACCATATTTTGCAAGATGGCTGAGAGTTTATCTGTGTTTGTGCTCATCTAAATGAGGTAGCAATTACACAATGCATTGATTATTGATAATGATTATGACAATTTAATGCCAAATGGGTCACACCTACTTTGGCAGCCAATAATAGGAAAATGGCATCGAATCAGAAAACAAACTAATAAAATATGTAGAAGGCGGGTTGAAAAAAAAAATTTAATTGCACAAAATGTGTTAAGGCAGAACTGAGTGTTGGTATATGGATAAACTGTTAAGTAACAGTAGCACAAACAGCAGAGTCATATTTAGTCTGATCGACAATTAACAGTGTACAAAGTGCTCTTACACTCTTGATTTTAAAACAACATGAAGGCCATGAACAATATTAGAGATTTGATGATGAAATAACAAAGTGACAAAAGTTCCTTTGAAACAGGTCACAAAAGGAATGAAATACATTAGTCCAATATTGCATGATTACTTCATAAAGGGTATAACAGCTTATAATCTATTTATAATATAGAATTTATAATCATAATATAGTAACTTTAACTGTTATTCATTTCTTGTATGTAACTTAAGTAATAATTCTTGATTGTTATATTATCACCAAAAATGTACAACATGTTGCACCCTTTATGAGGTCATCACTTAAAAGGAACATTTTATTACATTATTTTATTTGTAGCTTACAGTTGCTTTGGTTACATATAGAAAAGGTAATGGCATTCAAAGCACACATAACAAACAATCATCACAAACAAGATATCAGCACAACAACAATGCCAAATAGTAGGTATAAGTCAAGCTCACCAACAAGGACAGACAGCTACAGCCTCCAAAAAAAAACAAAAAACACAAAGACATTTTTTGGGAGCTTTTGTTTCCTTTTAATGCACAGTGACAGCTGAAGAGCGACAGGAAGGGGAGAGAGAGAGAGGGGACGATACGCCACAAAGGGCCACAGGTCGGATTTGAACCCTGGGCTGCTGCAACAGGGACTCAGCCTTGGTACATGGTGCGCCAGATCTGCCAGGGGGAGCTATACGGGCATCCCAAAGAAAAACATTTTAACAGTATGAAAGACCAAACACCAGTTTAAAAGACGTAAAACCTGATGTGAGAATATATTGGACCCCTAAATAGTAAAAAGAAGTCAAATGCTCTAATGAGTCATCTTGGCCCTTAGTCTGACTTGTGCAAACTCTGGAGCGTGGTGGTGGATCTATAAAAGTATAGACATGCATCTGTAGGGAATCTGATAGGATGCTTTCTCTACATACCTGTGTTTGCTAAGAAAGACGAGGCAAACGCACAAATGCAGAATTCTCCAAACATAATTCTAAAGTCACTCTAAAAACAGAAATACTAGATAGAGTTTTATAAACAGCAGAATGAAGTCAAATACCTCCCATGTCTCTCCAGTCACCAAATCAACAAGCGTCAAACGTATATAGGACATTTTGGAACATGGTGTAAATTTCCTCCCTCTTAAACAATTTGTCATATTTCCCAGCCTGGTTCCAGACCTATAAATCACCACCCACATGTCCAATTTGTTCAGCAATTCAAATAGGTCTGGTATTGTTCCCACTGATGGCTGTCTCCCCCTGTTAGAAAAACAATCGACTAACCAGAGTTTAATAGGTGGGATAAAGAGCGAGGACCCTCTTCCTACATCGCTAGTTAGCTTAGTTGAGAGCATGGATGAGATTGATGCCCTGTAGTAGTCGTCTTCAAATTACAGAAATAACGACTACTCTAAAAATACACATTTCTCAGATCAATTTTAAAAATGTTAATTGCTCTTGGCAACTGCTACCATAGCTTTTATGTCACTCACTACTAATAGATTACGGCAAAACATTAAAAAAAATAATCCCACATGATGTCAGGCTGAATATAATGAATAAGAAGTTAAAGTTAAACAAGGTGTCTATTCAGTCTGATTACCAGGCTACCAATTTTCAGCTAAATACATTTCAGGGTTAGGGAATGAAGCCTGTCTAAAGGTAAAATGTGGCCCTCATTTGAAGCCAAAGGCAATTTTTTTTTTCAGCCTTGGATGTAAAATAAAGTCAAATTCTACTTTATATTTACACATTCTTAGGATTTTTAAAGCAGGTTCTGTGATCAAAATCACACATCATACATTTGATCTTTTGGAGGTGTGGCATAAAATATCAGATTAATCTATAGGGTGATCTCTGAAAGCTAAACACATGATTGCGTTTCATTCTGCTCCTCTATTTTTGTCTGCAATTGATCTGTGGGAGCAAAAATGTTTTTGTTTTTTTTGGAAATTACCCATTCCCTAAAGGAGCTTTTTCTCCCTCCCTTTTGCAAAAGAGAATCAAGACACTCTGTCATCCTATGATTTCCTCGCTCCCAAAGCCTGTAAATAGGCTACTCTCCAGGTTCTATTCTGAATCCCAGCTAATTGTTTGGTATCCATGGAAACAACTCCAAGGGCTTCTACTTGAACTGTAGAAGATATTGGCACACAACTGCACAATAAAGATGATAAAAAACACGAAGTCACAAGCTGAAAAAACACTGCTACCGCACGTGTGAGTGAACTGACCAGACCTATCGGCTGCCCGTGGGGGAAAATCTTCCTCAAGTGAGGGAAGTATTTCTTTTTTGTCTGGTGTGTGTGGGGCTGGATTCTGACACTTCTCAGAGGCAGATTCACAGCGAATTGATTGAATGACCCTGCAGAGGAATATTTAGCATATATCCAATTTTTAACATCGCTGCCACTAAAACAGTCACCTGCATCATGTGGTGCTCTAAGTAAACGTGACATATTAAAACACATGGATGTATTCACATGGGCTATTCTGAATGTAAATTGCTGTCAGGATGGAGTGTGTGGGTGGCAACAGCCTCTAGCTAACTGTGATACAGAGGGAGAGAAAGACAGAAAGAGGAAGACTGTGAGTGGGTGTTGGAGAAACATACTCAACCTTTACCATATATCTCTCTATTAATACACATTTGGAAACTTTGTTTTTTTTATAACAAATTAAATTAAACCACAAGCTTTTTCACAGGATAGATTTATATAGACAGAATAGACGCATATAAGGATACAATGTGCCATCTCTTGAACTAAGTGATCACGACAGAAGCAGCCCAATCAAATACAAACTATAAAATTGTTTCTTAATAACCATGAAATCTTCCAGCAGATATTCATTTATTATAATATGCGCTTAATGAAACTTTTCATTCAACCCATGGCACACAATCATCAAACAATCATTAGCGAAACCACAATTAGCGATCTGATTCGCTGGACAGTTATCAGCACCAGTACTGACCTCATTAATTTTATTTGGTATCAGCTATGATGAAAACAGTCCACATTATATACATGTACTTTATCAATATTATTATTATTATTATTATTATTATTAACTATTTAGTGTTTCTGCTATCAGTTACATCAATTCAGTCCTAACAGACTGCCAACTCAGTTTTTAGCACCACACAGTAATTATCCAGTTATCCCTGGCATCATGTTAGCTTACATAACAAGACACAAGACTTCAAAAAACACTGCTCCATACAGTGTCATTAGTGGACAGTCCACGGCAGCTAGCAGCTCTGATAGGGTGTAATTAGGCATCACAGGGGTTTGAACTAAATGCTAACGCCACCATGTTGACAATGACAACCTGCGTGTCCGAAATCTATGCTACCTCTAAACAGGTTTTTAAATTGGAAGTGGAGGAACTGCCAGCAACTGGGGGAAATTTGAAAAAAAATGAGGGTGGAGGTGAAGTAGCTTTAGAAATTTCTTGCAAAACAAAAGTAAATATTAAGAAAAACACTTTGCTTTCCACTTATGAAGTCAAACTTGCAGTGAGAAAGTCACAGTTTGATAGAAATCTGATGTATTGTATTTAGTAAGTTTAAAGGCATAAAGAATGTTTGTTTTAGTATATACACTGCAAAGAATTATTATGTCCAATGGATTATATTATATTATGCAGTATGGATTTGGGACACAGCGTAAATGAACATCCTGATGTTTAGCAGGTTTAATGTTCACTATGGTCACCACTAGAAAAGGAAGTAAAGTTCAAGTTGTTGGCATATCTTATTAAGTTCTGTTTTGCACGTTGCACTTTGCACAATAAAAACTGTTTCTATTCTGCAACTGTTTCATGCATTTCATCATTTTGTGGAGCCAAGAAAACCCTATAGTAATGAAAGCCTTCAGTATATAATGCTATTATATATGTATATATGCTAATTAGCACTTGGAAAAAAATTTACAGTTAAGGCGGATGGAAATATAATAAATAATAAGCTTTGCTAGTATTTCATCATGCCAAAAAGTATATATACCTAAATTGTACCCAGACAAATATAAATTCTGATCTGATAATGGATGAAAAGTTGGGGGATCGCAGAAATGATTGCAATAGATTTTTCACAGCAGCATTTCTGACATGAAATAGTCGGGTAA